AATTCAAAAAAGTTAAAAACGTTCTAGATAAAAAATGACTCACAGCCAAACAAATTGTGGCAGTCTTTAATTCTGTGATCATCCCTAGAATTATTTACAAAATTAAATTGACCTTTCTTCTAGCAAATTTCTGTAATTTTTTGATAGCTTCGTTCAGAGCCTTCTTCAAAAACAAACTTTGTCTTACCAAGTCTTTGCCTGCCCCTATTATACACTCAACATTTGTATACAACTTGGCTTACCTTTATGATAAACAAATATTAGCAAAATCATCTGATTTCCTTAAAATGATAAATGACATTGCTCTGCTAGGCAATACTGCTAGACTAAGAATTATGCAACTTTAGCTCCTAGAATGATTACATCTATCACCTGTTACCAGTTAGCCTTACGAGAACCCATTACTTTTTAAAGATTGATGGTCTTCTTTCTTATCAGCAGCTAAATTAGAAGGTCTTACTTTTGGAAAATGTTTGGATGAATACTTTGATTTAACTCAAATTATGGAAGGATCTGTACCTATCTCAGCAGTTTTACCTATAAATACTTATAGGAAATCCATCAAGAATATTTGTATTCTGTCAATCATGTTTGTGGATCAGCTTACCTCAATAGATGGATAGATGGATAGATAGATAGATAGATAGATAGATAGATAGATAGATAGATGCTATCTTTTTACATCCTTTGATATCAACTGGATTCTTAACACTAATATTTCATGTGTAAATTGGTTCCTGAGTTTAGAATCTCGACTTATTTCGACACATCTAATAGAGCCATGATACCTACATGTCAACCTCATTCTTAATATGTAATTTACCTCTGATTACCATTAAACTAAAAGAGGATGACAACAATAATCCTACTTTTGTAGTTATTTGGTTTAACCAATTTATGACTTACATTATTGGAAAAGTGAAAGCTATTGCTAATGACATAGTTTACATCTAACATTATATACCAACATATGACTCAAACTTCAGAGCTGATATTAATCAATGCAATAGATGTAGTCTTTTTGATCCTACAGCAATCGTCACTACCATTCATAAAAACAAAAATAACTTCTGTGCAATGAAACTTCCATTCTAATTCTGTACAGAAATCAAAATTAAATTTAATACAACAAACACATAGGATGGAGATGCAGTCTTTCTGATTTTATGTTAAGAGAGGTTGCCCTGTCCAAATTAACTAATCCATATCAATATCCAAACAGACCAATACCCAACCTTGATATTTTACCATTTGATACTCATTTAATAAATTTACTTAATGATTTTAAAACTAATTTTACTTCTGCCCCTTTTCTTCAATTTTATACAGATGGTTCTCTAACTTTGTTAGGTTCTTCAAACATTCGTTTGGGTATTACATGATTATAGACTGCTCCTAATTGGCCATCATTATCTTTCAATGCTTCTCTTCTTTCACAAAGTCTTTCTTTCACTCTTGCAGAAATAGTAGCTATTTTAGCTATAATCTATGTTTCGCCTCATAATTCTGATATTGAAATCTGCACTAATTCACAAGCCACCATTTCCTCTTTCCATAAGCTGTCTTTTCTCTTCTATAATTCACTATCCATCAACCTTGCTTTCAAAATTCTGTATTTTCATATATGGTCAATGTTATTCAGCTTGTTAGCTCAAAAACATATAGTAGTTTCCTTTATTAAAGTCAATGCACACATTGATGACCTCCTGAACAATAAAGTAGACAAACTTACAAAGCAACTTCCTGCTCACCAATTATCTATCAACAAAGATCATTTGGATTCAAGTTACTATCTTTGCCATTATTCTAATCCTATTATAGCACCTCATTGTCTCTTTATAAAAAACAAAATATAAGTTACGTAGGTTGAATCCCTATTGTCATTACCACATCTGAGGCCATATCGTGATAAATCGATCTACTAGACACTTCTCTTCAAGATTCTCTTCAAGATTCTCAATAATGAAGAATCATCTTGTAAAACATCTTTTACAGGATGCTTCAAAAAGAAATTCAAAATCAAAATGTTGCTTTAAATGCTCTCTACCCTAGAAGTAATATATGCTCGCATTTCTGATATATATACCTCAATACAATGCTTCTGCTGTTGCTCTACTATTGAAGATTTTGAACACCTTTGGCTATGTTCAAAGAATAATCCAACCCTATATGACATTGTTGCTAAATACAAAATTTCATTTATTATCCATCTCCAGAAATTAAATATTCTAGCAGATGATTTACTAATACAAGAAATATGGTCAGATACTATTTGGACTTCAGTACTCATTTCAGCTAGTTTTTGAATTATTGACTTACTCAAAGGCATTATACCCTTATCATTATCAAATAAAGTCACTGCATGTGTATCTACATCAGCTCTGTCATATGGTCTACTATCATCCCTTTATCATGATTTTTCTATGTCTTGTTTTGAGATATGGAATAACAGAAATGTTGCTTTCAATGAATGGAAATTTGATAATAACATTGAAGATGACTTTACAATCCCTTGGATCTCTTCTGGATTTCCACATTCCCCCTTTATTCCTATCACATTGAACTTCACATCCTTTTTAGTGGCTACTACCTATGACTCACACTGGTCAAATTTTTGGAATAGCAGTAACTACTTCCTCCCTTTTAGATGTTTGATAGCTATACAATAGTTTAGTTTAGTTAAGTTTTTCTTCTCTTTTCTTCTCTGTTTATAGTTTAGTTTAGTAAAGTGCAAGGTTAGTATTGATAAAGTAGTTTAGTTTATAAATTAATTTATAGATATTTTTGTATTTTCTGTTTTATTATATGTACTTAGTATTTTATAAATTTAATAAAGATTATGTAAAACTATTGCACTTAAAAAAAAAAAAAATTATATCAGATTATTCTTGAAGACTTAGAAAGGTAATTTAACATGAGATCAAACTTGTCTTACTGAGAATATGCCCTCTTTTTACTTTTAGCCAATTGTACATTAATAGAAAAAAAAATTATATCAGGTTATTCTTCAAGATTTAGGTTTTATAAAATTATGATTTTAGCTCTAATAATTAACCTGTTATAAGCTTTTAAAGGTAACTAATAGTGGTTACGTTTCTTTATAAGCCACTGTATATGCAACTTGTATAAGACGATTTCACTAAAAAAGAATATACTTTATAAGTGTTTTGATGATCTTTGATTAAGAACTTTATAAGAACTATGTATTACTATATATAAAGACTGATTAGAAAAAAAATAAGTCTGTTTTCTATTTTATAATAAATATACAATAAAATTTAATGTATCTTTAAAATTAATAACTCATTAACTATAAATGCTAGAAACATGATTTAAATTTGTTTTGAAGCCATAATCTTGATAAATATATAATAAATTTTTTTTAAGTACAGCAGTTTTGTATCAATAAATATACAATAAAATTTAATATTTAGTTAATAATACTGATTTGTATAATTGAATTATTTATACTTCCTTCTAATCTCATTATTTAAAAAAATTTTTATTTTGATATTTATAACTTCACATATATGAAAAAAATTTTTAATTTACATGCATTAGTTGTAATATAATCTAATATCTTTTAAAGGTAATTAATTATTTTTATATTTTTTTTATAAGTTATTCTATAATCTTATATAACAAATTTTTATTTTGATAATTTTTTTTTTTATTTTTAATTTTATTTTTATAAAAAATATAATATTAATTTTTACTTTTAAACTTAAATTATTAAATTTTAATAATAAATATATTTTATTATTGTTATAATTAATTAAATTAAAAATACATATATTTATATAAATAAAAATAATTATATATAAAAAAATTATAAAAATTAATTAATTTTATTTTCTGCTTTTAAGCCAAATCTAGCTCTTTTTAAATCTAAAAAAAAATTATTATTAAATTAAATTATTTTAATTTTTATATAATAATATTTAAAATATTACTTACCAATATTAGATTTTCTTTCATTTTTAGATAATTCCATTTTTGTTTAAAATCTTTTTGGATTATTAAATTTTTTTATTAATAAATTTTTAGGAGCTTTAAATAGTTTTTATATATTATCTTTAGAAGAATTATTTCCTTCATTATTGATTTTAATAATAGAAGATTCTGGTAAACTTATCATTATTTTATATAAATGATAAACAATATTATGTTTAATACCTTTACTTAAAATACAATTACCATGTAATAATAAATAAGACGAAATGCTAAAATTTGTCTTAGTTTAAAGGTATTACAATATTAAGTTAAGAAAAATATATTTCACCTCCTTTATAATCTTCTAAAGTAATTAAAATATAAAAACAATTGGCTTCATCATTTTTATCCTAATGAAAATCACTTATTGTATTAAAATTAATAGCAATTATTGGAAAAATTCTAAAAGATCTTAGTACAAATGAACCCCAAGAAAAATTGCTTAATTTTGTGTATAAATTATTATAATGCTCTTTGACAAATTGATTAACACAATTTGATAATAATTTAAGAGCAATAATTAACTTATTTATACATTCTAAATAATTTATATTATGACTACTTATCATATCTGCACTAATATAAGGAAAACTAGTATATTTTCTATAATCTTCAAAATGTTCTGCCATATCTTTTCAAAAAGAATCACTTCTATGAGATGGATTATCTAAAGTATGAAAATAATAATCATTAACAGCTTTTGTTACTTGTAAAATGATATTATTATTATTATTAATATTTTCTAAATGTATTAACATTTGATTATTTTGATCTACAATACATTTAGATTTAGTTAAATAATAATAATTTTTTAATTTATTTAGTGTATTATTATTTTGATTTGCTGATCCAATTAATAATTTAAATATAATATTTTTATTAATAATATTAATATCAAATATTATTTTTTAATTTTTTTGACTTTTTAAATCATGATAAAGTCTTCTTCATTTATTTTTAATAAATTTTCTGATTGTTTTCTTTTTAATTAGTTTTTTTAAACCTAATCATTTACTAAACGATTTCCATGATTTTTTATTAATATTATTGTTATTATCATGATTATTATCATCCTCTTTATCATCCTCTTTATCACCCTTTTTATCATTCTCTTCATTATCCTCTTCATCCTCTTCATCATCCTCTTTATTCTCTTCATCCTCTTTATCATCTTTATTATCTTCATCATCATCTTCATCATCTTCATCATTTTCATTTTCATTTTCATCTTCATCTTGTTCATCATCATTATTATCATTAATTATTTTATTTTTTATTATATTATCAATTAAACTTAAATATGTTA